ATATTATTGTAACATCATCTAACCAGAGTTACTGTTCTCTCGATTATATTCAGCAAACAAAAGAAGACTGGTGCACAGAAAACCTTTGGTCTCCAGTACTTACTTTTATTGATCGTGCTTGACCAAGCCGTAGTGGATCAGCCATATTGACTTGTAACCTTGCAATGTGAAGAGCGGAATAAAGCCCTGCTACCTCCAGGATTCCATCATTAATGCTGCCAAAAGAACAAAATAGATCTTTCCTGTAAACAGAATTACCAGTTACCTGTATTTTGTTGCTTTCTTAAATTTATATTGTTCATGGATAAGGAATGGATCATGTTATATAGTTGGTAACAAGTCACTACTATTAACAACAGGTCTCGTACAAAATGACTCCAGGCGTACTGCTTCTAACACATGTAATTGTCACTCATCTCCTCACACTGACTCAAACCAGTAAGCGTTTGAGTGCCATTTTCAGGGGGCAAATTTCTTTTGCAGAGGAAAAATTTTGCTCTCATCTAACTTTCTTTCTTCTCTTATTTGAAAACATTCTAAAGTTTAATGTTTAAGTTCCTTCTAATGACCTCTCCTTTTAAAGGTCACAGCTGTGACCCCAACTAGCAGTACTTTTGTTTTGAATTTTTTTTATTTTGTAAATCTCTCAGTACTTTTATTTTGAATTTCATGTTAAAAGAAATGGTGTTCAATTTTATTGAGCAGTTACAATAAACTGACCTTGGTGGTGAAGAGTGTTCCTCATCACCATTAACCCACAATTCACAGCCTCCACACCAACTGTTAATGTTCAGAAAAACAATTCCCTCCAGCTCTGGCAGTTCCATTTTTCTTCCATCCATTTCCAGCTGAAAATAAGTAATGTTCATAAGTTAAAGGGCATGATATTAACTTTAAGTAAATGCAATCTGAGCTAGATTTGGTCTGAATACAAGACAATGGTCCCTTTCATACCTCAACAACTTCATGTAGGTTTTTGCAGTCTTGTTCGAGGACATCTCTGGCACCATACAATCCATACACTGCCTGAAGAGAAAGAAAAAAAAAAGTAGATACCTATATAATGCCAAGTAACCAAAACAATGTAGTAATGAGTTCAGTAAGGCTTAGTCTGTGCAATCAAACTTAGAGTAAAACAAAAGAAAACAAAACTGGAAAAAAATCAGTATTTACCTTATTAATAATGCGACTGGTAAACAAAGATGGCTGACTCTCACGATGAAGGTGGAAATTCAGAACTACTTTCGCATCGCAGCCAATAGAAAAGTAATTATTCATCCAAAACACCTAATGAAAGAGTGGAAGGAAATAGCCAAGACTCACGATATTTCTCATTGTGCAATATGGACTAAGTGTCTCAAACCACACATGATAAAAATGAATTTTCATATAAAACTAAAACTTAGTTAACAAACTGCCTGACTTGAAAGGAATACACAGTGAACCATTCACAGAATAAATTCAGGAGATACATATGAATGGCTTAGAATCTGGTATTACCTTCTTACGCCTCCTTACATCAAAGTACCGTCGGTTACTCTCAATAGTTATTTTCCATCTATAAACAGAAGGGTAGAATATTAGAATAAAAAAAAAGTCTAGTTGGTAAAAATCAATATTTACAGTTAAAATTCTTAATTAATGCTGCTCTCATCCATGCCTTGTATTCCATACCTGTCCAAAGGAGTGACATTAGCCGTCATTACAGATGTCAAAACTTCATTAACATCTTCCTCACCAGTGTAACCACTCCCCCATCCCAGAACTCGCGCCAGGTCATTCCCAGTACCTAGAGGAAGAATTCCAATGTATGGTGGCACCTAGTAACAAAGAAAATAGAGTATAAGTTTCTTGAAAAAAAATTGTACATGGCAAGTTTCTTTAGCTAACAATCTTAATTTTTTCATTGTTTTCTTTTTCAATTCAATATCATTTTTCTCCTGTGTTGCACTTGGTGTCCAGGCACATGATGTAGACAAAATTCTGTGTTAACACAGTTATTCATTTACATGTATTGAGTGATGAAAATTAAAGTTGCTTAGTAGAAGTTCACAGCATGAAGAGATTAGTGCATGAAGACTGCACCAAAAGAATACTGTATACATCAATCATTGATTCAACACAAAAAAAATGTGGTACAATATAAGCCTTCAATTTATGAAAATGGATAATATATGCAGAAACCATTTTCAGAGTTGTAAATAAGATCTGGCCACTGGCCAACCTGTATGCAGCCAGTTACTTTGCAAGTTAATTTAATGATCAAACTTAAGATATTGCAAAGAGGTTAATATAGATTGACTAAAATATTTCATAACTGTCACCCTGTAATTTTGAGAACATTTAACAAACAGTACTTCAAACTGTAAAGATAAAACTGTGAAAACAAAGCTCTGTGCCTACAATATTATATTTCATCCCTTAGAAGAGCTTTGACTACAACATGTATTGATTATTTTCAGCTATTGGTGCAACCATAACCTGACTGACCTTTAACTTGACTTTATCCAAAGCACCAAGAACCCATCCAACACTGCCATCCCCTCCACACACCAGTATACGAGTCCTGTGGTTTGGCAGAAGCTTACAAAATTCTAATGCAGATTCAGGAGGAACCTCATGAAGGTCTACTACCTGAAAATATCATTAAACATTCAGCAGCTGTGTAAATTTGCTGTTAATGATAAGGGACTTGTGATGGAAGAATGGATTGCAAGTTAGACTCCAGAGCAGGTTCAAACACTGACTAATATCTGTACTGAAAGGTTAGGAAAGAGTCTGCCATCCTCCAAAAGTCTTGATCAGCCATCACAGAAAGCACTCTGGTGATCATTAGTAGACACCAGAGAGAAAGGAGTTCTGTCAAAAGTGACTGCTTATGCATCATTATCATAAATGAATGCTAGCAAATTACTACCTGGCAATTAGCTATCTTCCTATCCATGGAGTAGTAGCAAAACTCATAGTGGCTTCATGTCGTAGAAAGTGAACATTCTCCCTCTTAACTTATATAAGTGCATTGCCTTAGTGGAAAATCACCAAATACAAGCTATGGCATGGCATAAACTAGGATTCTGTCAAGTTGACATGTAGCTCTAAATGTGCAGACATTTAGCTTGGTGCTAAAAAAAAATCTATGCCCACTGATATGATTTTTATTTCCTTTGTTTCAAATTATGAGAAATTAACAATTACTGGGAAAAAATAGAAAAATTCAATTGGAAACAAAAATTGAATCAAGAGAAAAATTTGAATCATTACATTTCTCTATCAACTGTTTGGAGATCACTTCCAATTTTTGAATGCTACCACTCGCACTTACCTGTACTGGGTTTAAAAGATTTTTAAACGCCATTAATAATCTTTCCCCTTCATTGTCCCCACTCTTACGATTAGCAAACACAAGCAGTGGACTCCAATTTTTGATGGGCGGTGTGCTGACTTCTCGAACCACAAATCTCTTTTTACTTCTCCAATTTTCCACAGTCAAACTAATGCAATGTGGAGGTAACATCATAGTCTTATACTTTCCAAAATCACACACATTTGACTTGCTTCGAAGGCAGTAATCATGTGTTTTATCCTGACACCATACACATCTGAGATCGCATAATCTCGGTTCAGTACCACAATGAAAACCGCAGACACTACAAGTGCTACATAGAGGTAGATTCCCACGAACCCATTGGTGGTTCATGTATTCTCTCTTCGAAAGAACGAGAACTTTGCAAGCAAATCTCTTGGTTGCTCCGTCGATGCATTCTTCGTGAACTGAGATCCCACAGTTTTCACAATAACCGCCTCTTACAAGAGGACGCTCGCAGAAGTTACAATACGTGGGCTTGTCAAGTATTTCTGTCATAAACCATCGATGGCCCTTCTGAGGGTCTCCCACTCGTAGTCCTCTCTTCCAAGTCAGACCTAACAATTTTGTTAGTACCCAAGAAAGTAAAATGAAAACTCCACAACATGCAAGAACTTGGTATGCATCTCCTCGCCATTCTAAGATGTCTCCCATTGGTTTTAAACATATCCACGAAGAGCTTTAGGGGATCAATTTAACCGCACAAGAATCATGCAGACAACACCTGTTTCTTCAGCCATGTTGGTAATTACCCATACTACCCTGCGTGATACAAGAGGATGAGAACTGGGTAATAGTGAATCCTAACCTTGACCTAACTTCGACTCTTGACCTTAAGGGAATGGGTGGAAAGCTTCAGGCTTGGAAATGAGTGTACAAAATGAGAGGAAAAGATAAAAGTAAAGGAAGAGAGAAAGAAATCGGATCGCGTATAGGAGATCGAGACTATCGCTGGCTGCTTCTCAGGTTGTGTCTACGTAGTCGAAGGTTTTCGTAACTCTCGAGAGTTATGTAGGAGGCTGTGTAAACACGGGAAAATTTTTCATCACTTTTATTTTACATACTCTCATCTAAACACATTGAGCGACCAATGAGAACGCTTCCTTAAAAACTTTTCATATGCACGTTTCAAGAGTATGGTCTGCGATGATCAACTACATGTTATCAAGCACATTACGACTTCTTTTTCCTCTAAAATGGTTTAATTAAACTTTAAAGATATCATTACAATGAGAGCACCTCGTAAAAGTCACTTGAACCGCCATGTTGTTATAAGCTGGTTACCATGAGGACACCGTTACTTTGCATACGAAGATGTAAATGATCTGTTCTCTTCGTGAACTGAGATCCCACAGTTTTTTTGGAAAAGTTGACAAGACTTCTTGTTCGCTAATAGCGGATTTGGATGAAACAGAAGTACTAAACAGCGAGTCAAACGCAACAATATGGCCTCACCTCTACCTCAAAAGCTTTTTCTTTTTTGTTTCTAACCGTTTACAAAAATTTTTTTGATAAACTTCCAAAACTCAAGAAGTAAAATTAGTTGAAGAGTATTGCGAATCGTTGTCTAATCGCTTTCAAGTTAATTAGTTTAAAACGTCCCTCTTTAAAAGAGACCGCTGATCATGTTTTGATCATGGTAGGTGGCGGCGGCGGCGGCTTCTTTAGTGATGGACAAAATGCACCGAATCATCCCCACGAAACAGGGAAAGGAGGTAAAGGATATCTCCGTGGGGGAATGGGTGGACAGAATTATGGTGGATTTGGAGGTGGTGGTGGTTTTCTTGTCGACAAAAGAGGAGTAGGTGGCGGAGGAGGGGGGAATGGTGCAGCTAATGAAGAGTTTTCCTGTGGTGGAGGTGGGGGATCTTTTAACGATGGAACACATCAGCAAAATGAATGTTGTTATAATAGCGATGGTCATGGAAGAGTGTTCATCACATTACTTCATAGAAATGTACTTGGCAGCTCCTTCCTTAACGTATAGTGGTAATTCTGCTCTAAAGTGCTGATTGGCTAGTCGGAACTGAATAGTTAGGACTATTCCCCTCCACTGTGGTGAATAATTGTTAATCGTACTAGTCATGGTGACTTGTTACGAGGTACAGTCGGTTTAATTTACATCAATAAATTCTTTCTTAGCCGTCGAGATTTGTTTGTTAGTGTTTATAAAAAAAGCACTGCAGTTAACAGTGGGTCCTGCAATGTATGTCAAAGGCTTTACTGATTTTTACTAGACTGATTTTTACTAGTCTGATCAAATGTCGCATAATCAGGGCTATCAGTGTTTCCACACCGTCCAGATTCTCTCGAGATTACATTTAGCATCGCTGCATCCAAGAACCAAATATTATTTACGTGCTCAGACTGTCACTGACGTCATCGTCAGTCAAAATGAAAGTTTACATTTATCTCGAAAGTTCGACCACCTGCAATCATTAGAATTTAAGGCAAAGGAATAATGCAGTAAACACTCCTGATTAGTTCCCAAGAATCCCTGACGGTCAGGGTCTCATGCTGGGGATGTACATGTCTCAGATTTCGAGTTTTCAGTAGTCTGTCTACAATTTACGGCGAAGTTTGCGACCAACTGAATTGCTAATTGCGAAGTATTAAAGAGATGCTGTTAAACAGAGTTTTAACGCTGACTTCTCAACATAGGCTTCCTTTATAACTCACCATTTCGCCTTGAACAGTTAATGAGCTAAAGCAATATTCCCTGAGGAGGAAAGCCCGCGTAATCTTTGACCAATCAAAGCTCTCCAGATAACTCGTCGCTGCCAATATTACAGATCTATAATTTTTACGCTACTGTAAGTAAATGTCGCGAGAACAACAGGCATTTTGCGCGATGCAGTATCCAGTGGTATATTTTGAAACAAATTTCAAAAATATAAGTGGATCTTTTAACAATGAAACAAATCAGCAAAATGAATGTTTTATAATAGCGACGTAGAATTTTAGTGGTGGTCATCCCAAAGTTTAATGCGTAAGATGAAGTTTTAGTACTGATGATTAAGTTTCTAGGATCAACTCAAGGATTTGTTGCACTTCAATACATAGCGAAATCTCCGCACATTGCGATAAGATAGCAAAGAACACAATCACTATTGAGTCATAATGCAGCTAAACGCTCCAGATCCCAGAGATTCATTTCGGCAAAAGGATTGCTACTGATCTAGAGATTATAATCTCTTGTACTGACTCGATGTTTTAAAGCCTTTGATAAAATCTAAGCAAGTAAGAATCCGGAAAATTGAGGAAGAGTGGGCGAGAGAGCAGTGCCTCAGTCTACGCAAAGTTATAAAAGGCAAAAGTATCATTTTTAGGGGGTGGGGAGAGTCCACCCGGTGCCTCCTTCGATTCGTCCAAATTAAATACCCACTATATTGGTAAAGATCCCTCATTGTCGGCATAATGTGTTTCAAGGGTACGGGCCTTTTTAGCCACGAATTACTTTTCCTTATAGGTTTGCATATTGTAAATACAGTTGCCAAGATTCTCTGGACTTAAGCTGGAAAATTTCGTCGCTTGTAGTTGGTCATTGACTAACATCTGGGGAAATAGGACTGTAGGAACTATTTTGAAGAGAAACTGTTGCGAAGTCAGTTCTTCATATTCCTGTGTATTTACAACAAAATACCAACTGCCACGTCATTTATGTAAAATAATCTTTATACGCCCCAGGTATGTCATGCATGGGGATTTATTATATGTCAAGTAGAGGACATATGTAAAGTAGGGTATAGGACATAATATGTATTGGGGACATAAATTCCCCATACATCACGTACTTACCTTGTACGCGGTTAAGTCCGCTGATCCAAGCCTTTCGCTATGTTAGCAATGTAAATCCACATAATAATTAATTTACAGCCGTAACAATATTGGTTTGCAACTGACTGTGAAAGTTTATCATGCTGTCACTTGACTCTATCAACGTTGAACCATTTGATTTGAAGCTATATTAAGGCCTCGCCCTGAGACTCACATATGACTCACATGGACATTACTTGAATAGCCTTAAAAGCGGGCCAGCGGGTTGTAAACTCCAGTTGTAACAGGAAGAGGAAACTTGGGATGTGCCCAGAAAATTTACCTGCAATCAATAGGAACTTTTGAAAGTTCTGCCTTGTTGGCATCATGAAAATATGTAATTTTGGGTAGTTCAAATATGAAATTAAAATCTTTCTAAAATCAAAATATTTTTAAAATCTTTATTATCATTGCTTTGAGTTGATAATGTGAGTTGGCTACCGTAAAGAAGAAGAATTCAAATCTAACGCTTTTGGCGTTAACCCTTCGTCAGAGCAAATGGAGGAATTGTGGGTAATGTAGACTCAAATGTAGCCTACTAACAGCCAGGTGAACTCGAAATTGTGTCTTGGATAAACTTCAACACATAATTGTATTCCTCAGTATTCCATACCTCTAGGGGCAGTCTGGAATGTCAATAACAGTTTTTGTTGAGACTGCACAAAGTCTTATTAACTCAGTATGTAAAGTCTTTAGCATATAGCCATCCATTCCCCGATTTTGTAGACAGCATATCATGATGCTACACGAAGATTGAAACTTAGTGGTTTTTGTCTTTGGGTCACGATATTTTCTCAACGTTATGAATGAAAGGATAATGACACTAGAATTGAAAAACACACAGAGGAAATCTTCCTCTATGAATTAAAAAAGGGGGCCATTGATATGCATTAAGTACAATCGAGTTTCACCAACCAACCACATCCAAGAGGATCTAATTCAGTTGTGACAATCGCAGAGACACTTAAAATTTGATAAAGAGGGTGACGTGTTTCGAGCGCAGATGAAACCTCAACTGTCTCAATTTGCCTGATATTTCCCTGAAAGTTGAAAATATCGCGGTCGCTGTTCGCCAGAAATATAACGGTTTTTTTTTTCTGAGAGCAAACTCTTTGTATCCTACTGCCTCGTCCTCACCATTTTGGCTACCCTAATACCAGAAGTATAAGGTGAGATTTTCCTACAGTAATGTCTTTTTTATCGCCTTAGTACTATTTAAAGTTTACTGAGGCAATTTTTACCTGAATATTATCGTTATTGACATCTCTAACTTTTCTTCTCTAACCATTGAGTATAACGAGTTATTTCGTCTGAATACTTTCTCTCCCTGCCATGGCATAGGATAACAAATACATTTTACAAAAGGTTCATACATTGTTGAGGTCATTTTGCGACCCATCTTTTGGGTGTAATTAGGAGAATGGTTTTTTTCGAAACACCTAAAATAAAAGTTTGACTGAAAATAATTAATTTGGTATCTGTCTCTGCAATGCTGCCCATTAACATTTTTTTATTTTTCGTTATCACACGATGGGGTGAGACCCTTCATGTGTAATAAAATCTGGCTTTTTGTTCAAAATTTGGCTCTAAGTTGACTTGAAGTTCGTTCAAATTTCACAAAATCTAAAAAGGACAATTTGTGTATTCCAGTTATTTCCGAGTTTTATCGCTAAAAATTATTTACAATAATAAAAGTGAATCGATGCACCCTTCAAAATATGAATAAGATAAGCGTTCTACACCCTGACGTTTTATTCGTGCGCTGAATATCGATTTGATGTATAATCAATTCGGACAAAGAACATTTCTTTTTATCTGCGAGCATATATCAGTTTCGTAAAATTCGTATCGATAATTTTTTTCGTAAAAATAACAGGCATAGCTTAGGCTTCTAATGTCTTTGTTCAGAGTGAAAAACTTGTTTTATCGCGAGAAAGAATAAAAAATGAACGAAAAGATAAAACAGAATAGGACAAAAAAGCAACTATTCCAAAAAATTTTGTTATCCCTTGTTGTAAAAGGAATAAAACATATTTACCTGGGCCGGTATTATTATAGTAAGTAACATAAGAAAAATATTCACATTTTTAGAAAACATTTGTCGGCCAGTCTGCATTCAGTGGTGCATTCAGATCACATGCCTGTCATTGAAAAAACTGTTATGAATAATTTGCCACACGGGTGGTTTGTTTCTCGGCTACTAAGTAAGGGTTCTTTGCCAACGTGATCTACAACTGGGCTGTAACAGTAGGAATGAAATCACTTTATTAAAAGCACCTGGTAAGGGTAATAATCTTCTATGTTATTCGGTACTGTAGTCTTTTTAGGTTGGGCAGATTAGATTTTGAATAAAGACTATAAGTTGCAGGGAGCTTTGTTTGCTCCACAATCAGTGAAAATTGTCATAACTAAAGGGTGGGCTTGTGGTCAGTTGATATTACGAAAAATGCTTGATTATGATTAACACTTGGGATTATAATGAGACGAACGGAAATAGGTCCGTGTAGGAAAAACATGTCTTCAATTAGGGACCGCCAGGAGCCCAGAAAATTCTAAGACCATGACCGCGCTGGATGATACAGATATCAATTGTAAAGATAGTGCGCTCAATTCGTCGCAAAGGAAATGAAATTTAGTCTTAGAAGCTAAGGACAAAAATATTTTCATTCGTATTATTAGTCCTTAAAATTTTGGACGAAGAAAGTTAAAAAAAGAAACAACAATTTAAAGTACTGCACTGCAAAAACGCAATAAAAGCCTTGAAAGTGTCAAAACGTCGATTGCACTATGAATAAGATCGTCGAATTTCATCTTGGGCTTTAGAGGTAAAAGAATGGAGAAATTAGTTCTAGAATGGAATCAGAGACGATGATATCTTTGACCACTGTTTAACTACTTCATGCGACATGTTTTTGCAGGCAAGTTTATACAGTTCCATACTCTCACCATGCAGAACATTTGTTTGTGTCGGAGTTGACTAGCATTACTAAAAGGTTCTCCCATTTTGCAGTTCAGGCCGACATTCTTATCAACGACACCGCCTCCGATTAATTAAAGTCATCTGCGAGAAGAAAATTAATCACCGAGAGATTTAACTCAATACTCAATTCTCTGTCTTGAAGAAATGCTATTGCAAACCAGAAGGCTTTATTTACTAACTTGAAAACAGAC